TGCCAAGTTTGGAAGAAATTGGTGCAGCGGTTACCAAGATATACACATGTAACCATAAGTGGGCGTGGCTACGCCCATTTTCCAAAAATTTATAATATTCTTATTTTTCGTCTAAAAGTTATTGCAAATATCAATTTTGAGTGAATTATCTTCAGTAGTTACTAAAATATCGCAGTTTTCGTATTTCTGGAAATTACCGTTATATGGGAAGTGGGCGTGGTTAAAGTCCGATTTCGCCCATTTTCAATACCAACCTACCTTGGATTAAGGGAAACCTACATACCAAATTTCGTTGAGATATCTCAATTTGTGCTCGAGTTATCGTGTACACGGACAGACGGACAGACATGGCTTAATCGGGAAAACATATATTTAATACTTGCGCCGGGTATTTAATGTTCGGCTCCGCCCGAACTTAGACTTTCTTACTTGTTTTTCTTCTAAAATTGATTGTTTTCGAAACAAACTTGAAGCAAGCGGTAATCTCAAAATATTGCATTATATCTCGTTCATTTTCAAATCTACGGCATAAATAAGCAAGGTCAGACTTGAAGAAAATCAAATTTCCTACAATTTTGGCCCCCACAATTTTTCTTCTAAAACCGACATATTTAGTTGCCAACTTGGTGCTTTAAGAACTAGATTTAGTGCTTTTAGAAAATTAAAACGCCTAAAAAAATTATTTAGTGCCTAGTGTCTTTTTTAGTGCTTTATTTCTGAACTAAAATTACTCCGATTTGGTTAAGACCTGAAAAAATTTTTAAATATTTAAAGCTGTGGCAGCACTGAATTTACAAAAATCTACAAATTTAAATGCACTTAAATACAACCATGATTGATAAAAAGCTGAACTTGCAAACCCTCCTTGTTCAATTCTATTCGCCTTGAAAATACTAGTAGATATGCGGGTAAGTTAAGTATTTCTTTTTTTCTTTTCTAATTATTTGTAAATTTTTTTTTTTTTGTACCACCTGAGTAAAACACATCGTTTCTTGGTGCTGAATCCAATTGCTCAAGCACTAGAATTTTGAGATATCCTAACCTCAAAGTGCCAAAATCACGGTTTTCGGCGATATTTGAGGTTATATAATGAAAACATAATTTTTTTTGCTCATTTCTACTTAGGGCATGATTTGCGTTTGTCGGGATTCGATTTTTCTTTCTTGAGATATATCAGTTTTAATGCGCAGTACTTCGGTATTACGTCGTAAGCATGAGTCATTATAGCATGTGGCTTTTCAATCGTTATGAGCGAAAAAGTTTTGTTTATTGATTTATGTATGCATTCTTGTAAATATTGTTAATTTTTTGTTTTTGTTAAATACATATAAACTGTTATGAAAAAAGCATCTATTGATTCAAAACCATTTGGTGCTTTTAGTGTGGTTAAACGCTATTTTCCAAGTTTTTGGTGCTTTTTGAAAATCAAAAGTTGGCAAAACTGAAAACCGATATTTTTTGATAGGGACAAGTAACATAAATAATTGAAATACTGAGGAGTAAAAAAATTATAATTTGAAAAAAATACATTTGAAATAAAAGCATAAATTTAAAAAAAAAAAAAAATTATGTGAAATGAGAAAAGAAGATGAAAGACAAATGAGTCGAATTTCATGAAATAATGTGTTAAAAAAGAAATCAAAAAATATACTTGAAAAAAAAAAACAAATTTAAGTACAAAAAAATAAATAAATTAATGACGAAATTTTGAAGTATTGGAAGTATTCTGTCCTAAACATGAATATTTGTTTGGCTATTTATTTGTAGCAGAAATCCAGTGTTTGGGACTACTACATTGTAAGACTGTAGCTGAGCTATTCACGAGGGATGCATTATACCCAGTGTTGCCAGATGCCAGGATTTCGCCCCATTTTGGGGATTTATGAAACCATTTGGGGATAGATTTTTTCGTTTGGAGATGTGGGGATTTGATGGGGATTTTTGTTTGGTTTAAAATTATCATATTGAATTTAAAATACATACAGTAAAACCCGCTTAAGTACCTCACGAAAAATGTCAGCTTTTTGAGGTACTTAGGCGGGTTGGGTACTTAAAAGAACTCGCTTAATTACCTCGATGCGGGTACTTAAACGAACATAATTATTGATGTAGTTACATTTTTTTGTTAACTTACATAGATATGTGTATCCTTGAATAAAACATGAACATTTAATGAAGTAGTAGTGTAGTTTAAAGCAAGACCATAGCATTATTTAAGATTTTTCAATTAAAATACCAGGGACCGAAAATAATCGTTATCATGAAGGATTTTTATTTAAAAATCATTGTATAATCGTTATTTTATGATTTATATATTTTCAATCAAAAATAATCGTTATTCTTTGATTTTTATTTTTTCAATCATTTTTAATAGAGTTGTCAAACTATCGATGGCACTATCGATAGTTTCAATTTTTTTATACTATCAATACTCATTACTATTTTTTCTTATACTATCGAAAATATCGATAGTTTAGTAGGACTATCGATCATCTCTACCAATTATTTTGAAATTGTTGGAATTTTTTAATTTGAATTAAAAATTTTGTTTTTTAGTGTGATGCCGACGTCATATTCAAATATGCACGCATTTAGGCCAAAATACATACATATGTTAATGGTAAATCCTGTTTTGTTTGTATAACTTGTGTTTGTTTTTAAACTTTCTAAAAAGAGAAGTATTTTGGCTAAGCATTTACTTAATTTTGAATGATTATAACTTTTATAAGATAATATTTATTTCACTATGATCCTGTAAAAACAAAACAACCCATGATCCAACTACACAAGATCTGACAAGATGGAGCAAACGAAAAAAGTAATTTTCTGGCTGACGTTTGTAATTTCGGCGCCATGTTATTTTCTGTAAAAAGTAAACAAAGAATATGAAAAGGAAGCATAAAGAAAAACTGCAAGCAATGTTGTGCACATGTTTGTGCTAACCAATTTATTATTTATGTACGTGTTTTTGCATTCAATCACCGCGCACTTCATTTTAATTACATTTGCACAAAAAATCACTGAAATAAACCACCGACAAAATACACATAAAGAAAGAAGCAAAACAGAAATAGGAAACTTCAAAATTACGAACGTCACACACTTTTTTCTCAATTGCTATTACAAATGGCTGCTTCTCAACCGGTCAGATCTGTTCTAATCGGTTCATGAAAGCAACCTATCGATAGTTTTGTTTTTTTCGAGACTATCGTGAATATTGATAGTTTTTCTGAAAACTATCAAAACGATCGATGGTGTGACTATCGATAGTTTGACACCTCTAATTTTTAATCCTTATTTTATGATTTTTATATTTTCGATCAAAAATAATCGTTATTTTATGATTTTTATATTTTCGATCAAAAATAATCGTTATTTTATGATTTTTATTTTTTCGATAATTTTTAATCGTTATTTCGTGATTTTTATTTTTTCGATCATCTTTAATCGTTATGTTATGATTTTTATTTTTTCGATCATTTTTAATCGTTACTTTATGATTTTTATTTTTTTGATAATTTTTAATCGTTATACTATGATTTTTATTTTTTCGATCATTTTTAATCGTTATACTATGATTTTAATTTTTTCGATCAAAAATAGAAGTTATTCTTAGTTTTTTAATGTGTAAACTGAATGTGCAGAGATTTGACTAAAAAAAAAGTTTTACAAGGCATGCTTATGTACACAGTAAAGTCGGAATTGTAATGCTCCCACCCTAGGATTGTTCTATATCGAAAACTATTTTTATACCTTTCATTAGCATGAAATGGTATTATAACTTTGGTCCGATGTTTGTAAGTACCACAATTAGAAGAGATAGACCCATTGAAATGTATACTTAAATGATCAGAACGTCGAGCTTCGTCAATTTAGCCATGCCCATCTGTCCGTCTGTTTGTATGCAATCTAGTCTCTCAGTTTTCGAGATATCCGGATAAAATTTGGTAGGTGGGTGTATTTTTATAATGCACTAATCATTTGTCGGAACTGGAATAATCGGACCACTATAACATATAGCTCCCATACAACTGATTGTTCAGATATGAGATTGTTCGCTATAACTCATCCATTTAAGCAGTTAGGAAGATGAAATTTTGCATTACTTCCGCCCATTATCAACAGAATACTTACAGTGAAAATTACAAAGATCGGTCACTATAATCTATAGCTCTCATACAACTGATTGTTCA